ACACCACCTGCACCGTTGCACTTCCTGCGTGTTGTGCGTTTGTGTGGGAGAGAGAAAAATAGGGAGATCGAGGGAAAGAGAGTGCTTTTGAAGTTGCATTGGTTGCAGCTCTCCTGCTTTCACCATGTTTGTACTTGTGTTAATCTGAGAGAGCAGAACCCAATTTAAAGAGCTGCGAGTCTATTTCACAGCTGTTTGACCACACACACACACACACCCAGAGAAAGTGTAAATGACGATGTATTGCTCGGGGCTTCTGACATTTAAACACTCCTCAGAAACGTGTGTGAAGCGGACACAGTCAGAGAAAGAGAGAGTGTGTGTTCTGCAGCAGGTCTAATGTAGTATGACCAATCGCTGCGGTGCTGATGGACTGATGGAAAGTGGGGACATGTTTAGATTTTGTTGATTTGGTAATGTTTGCATTTTGTGCTTCTGCTGTGATTAAGTAGGCTACGTAGTTAAATTGTTTCTTTTTGCGTTTGTTTTAACCGTGTTTATTGTTTTATGATTGGCAGGGTGCAAATTATACAGTGACAAGTTGGGGGGGGGCAACTTTTTCACTAAAAAGAATACAGATTTATATTCTTCCTAGTAATCTCCCCCAACACATCCCGGAGACTATCACTCACTGCTGCTGCAACCTTGATAAGTGTGTGTCAGTCGTGAAATGACAGTGATCATGAAATGACAGAGTGGGCTCTCAGCTAGCTGACATCAGATAGCTCATTTTAAGGACTAGAATGGCTGCGATTAGCTCCGGCAATGCGTAACGTGCCATAACTGGTGTCAGTGGACTTAAATGCTTAAAAAATAGCAACGTCTCACGCTCAGGTATAATACACAGGTGAGCTGATGTTCACCTTTTGTACTGAAGGGAAACCAATGATGACTACAAATTATTCAATCAACACATTCTCACTCCCGACTTGTGACATACTGACGCTTGGTCAAGGCCCTTTGCCGTCGCCTTTTAACGACCTGGGTACCCCTTTTACGTCATTTACTGACGTTTAGGGCTCTGCGGTCAAGTTAGCAATGCTTAGCAACAACAAATATACAACTTCTGCTAAAGTTAGCAAAAATAAATATGCAACGTCGGGTTAGACTTTCAAAATAAAAGGCAAAACATCGCCATTTTGAAACGGCGCATTATTAAAGTTGTGAAACGTTGCAGTTTGGTTGGGTTTAGGCAACAAAAGTACTTGGTTAAGGTTAGGAAAAGATCATGGTTTGGGTTAAAATAACTACGTACGTCAGTTAATACGCAAGTTAACTAACGTGATTTGCCTAAATAAAAATATTTAATGTTGACTTTTTGGTTCCCACAGGACTCCACAAGAATCCTGGTCTCCTGGTTCAAAGTTGGGGTTCTGGCCCTCCATCCACTCCTTACTCAGTCTTTAAATATCATATACCTACCATGGGCTTCCTCCAATATGTTGAACTGTGACGGTAACAACTGACGACTATGGCTCTCGACCATGCGTCCATATGTGACAACTTGAATAGGAGTGAGAACAGGTTGCTTCAATATATATTTCTCTTAGAGATGAGTCCCCAGAGACGCCCCACTAGTACAGAGACTCCTTTCACTTTAGCCATGAAGGGGAAGATGAGCGAGGAGGAAGAGGATGAAGGTCACTGAGTGCTGACAAGATCTGTGGTGAAGGAACCAGAACCGAGATCAAAAAGTAGAATTAGAATAGATAAAATTGGAACAATACCCAACCCTACTTACAAGTAACACATTATTAAGGAAAATGGCACTTTCCAAATTAACGTTTGTCTAAAAAAGAATAAAATAAGTGCTGTTTGAATGGCTGATATTAATAGACCAAAGCTCCATTGGAACTGGATTTATGTCTCCAGGGAAGGTGGCATTTGTTTAACTCTGCTTTTAATTCTGTCCAGAACGACGTCCTTGTATTTTAAAGTGGATCTCTGAGCTGCTTGTTCTTCTACTTTATTTTTATCAATTCAGCGTGAAATTTGACTTTTGTGTGAAAATGGAAAATGCTAAAATGATAGCGAACGCCTGCCTATATGCCAATCTGGGAGCCAAAATGACCACAGAAAAAGCCATCAGGAGAGTAAAAGCTCATCAGATGGTCTGTTGTAATGTCAGCTTCAAGTAGGTGCTGCTGTCTCTTTTTACAGTTTATACAGTTATATACACTATATTTGTGTTTACATTTAGTCAAAATTACTCCAGTAATATCGTGCTGAATTAGCTGTTCGCAGCTTTTGTTAGCAGTGGATGGATGGATGTACAGACATTCATCACTGGATTACTGTGATATTGAAGAAAACTACTAAACAAGACGTGGAAGTCACACTGAATGCGTTTCATATCTGTGAATTCAGAGCTGACAGATCTGATTTGTCTTTGTCCTGCTGAATGTCCATGTCGATTACAAACGATATCCTGTCACTTCACCAGGGCTAAAATGCCGTCCTGGACAAAGAGTAAAAGTGAAGGAGGAGCACAGTGAAGATTTCATTCCCCACCTCCCCCTGTAACGTTCATCCATTCTGAATCAGGCTTAACTTAATTAAAATCACACTGACAGAACTGATCTATTTCTCCATATTCCCATTACTGCTTTATATTTGGTTGATGTTCAAATCTAGTAACTTTTTTAAGAGAATATTAACTGTAAAATGAAATATATGGCATATTCCCTGAGGTCTTCCACAGCAAGTCTTTTGAAACTTTAAAACTGTGCTCAAAACTCATCTTTTTAAACTAGCATACTCACTGTAATAATGTACAACACCGATTCTTATTTTGATTGTTGTTTTAAAAAAATTTTTTTTCCCCTTTCGTTTGTTGCAATTTTCATGATGCTATGTACTTTTGCTTCTTGTTGTAAGGTGACCTTGAGTGCCATGAAAGGCGCCATCAAATAAAATGTATTATTATTATTATTATTATTATTATTATTATTATTATTTATTTTATACGGTGGATTTTGGCAGTTGGACAGACAGAAGACACTGTTGAGAGAGATTTTATTGAGGACGTCAAACTGAAACTGGAAAGGTGAGCAGGACAAAAATAGGATCTAGAAAAGACAAGGAGACGTGTCGTCCCACCCACATTCACCCTTGCCATTATCGATTGAGAGCTTGAAAGATCTGACAACGGTATTTAATGCATGATTTGTTTGTTTTTGTTTTAAAACAAACAAATAAACAATCCCTTAAATCAGCTTCGTAAAGAATTGTGCCCCTGATAGGACTGAGAATGACATTTCACAGTTGAAAAATAAACATTTGGAAAGTGCAGTACCATCAGCCAAATAAAGGTCTTGTGACTTTGTGAGTTTGACTCGAGTCCAGGTCTCAAGTCTACAGCTCAATGAGCAGAAAACATTTTAAACTTGTGAAAAACAGATAGAACGGTAAAATCAAAGCAGCAGAGGCAGAAATATTCTGACTCTAAACATTTCCCACAATGAAACTCTATGGGGTTTTCACAAAGTGCAGAGGCAGGTAAACTAGGAGGTTGGACCCAGACGAGCACGACACCGTTCTTGTAATTTATTAAACAAAAAGGACAACTAAACAGGCTTATATTAAAGAATGGCTGGCAAAATCCAAAGTAAGGTTGCTGTCCATCAACACGTAACAAAAATCCAGAGTAATCCAAACAAGGGCGTCATTTTGTGTTGAGGACATTTAAGGGCTGATGAGAACAAGACAAAATATATTTTAAAACTTTTTAGAATAAATATTAAATGAAATCTACCATTGGGGGGTCTGGGGGTCCTCCCCCTGAAGATACTGAGCATTAAACACTTAATTTCCTGCATTCTGGAGACATTTTCTGCATCAATTTATGGTGTGAATGTCTTTATTTATATAAAAGGGAAACACAAAATTAAGGTGGCAGGTGACAATTCAAAATATAAAAATATACTGGAATATAATGCAGTAATCAGCAGCTTTTTTTGTAGCTTAGGCAACTTGTTTTTTCTATATCAACTTCTATATCTATTTTTTTCTACATCTACATTGCAATGCAATTCTTATTGAATTCTTGTTGTGCAAATAAACCTTTTTTACAAATGCTTTTAAAAAAGTGATAGGGACATGTCCCCAGCGTGAATGACACCTATGAATCCAAACAAGCAAAGAAATCCACACAGAACTGAACACAGGGGCAAACAAGCAGGGAGGGAGTGAACAGGTGAAACACATCAGGGTACTCAGGAAGACAAAGAGAGGAAAGACAGAGACGGATAGCATCAGAGTAAAACAGGAAGTAAAGCATGCACCATCACACAACGATGGCAAGGAAGGTAACAGAGAACACAGCCATGACTTAACAGAACCAAGGCAGGATCAAGAACACAGAATCAGGAAAAAGTACACTAACAACAAAACTTAAAACCCACAACCATGACAAGGGTCACTAGAACCTCCACGCCTCTTATCACAGGCTTTCAGTTAAATGACTGAGTAGGACTCACTACGGCTGGTACACTGACCTTTACGTGTATAATTGGTGGAGACTGGTGAGTCTGATAGCGATGTGTACGGCAGGCTACGTGATCAGCTAAAACCAGTCAATAATATGGACCGGGACCAGAAATAAATACTGAAAAATAAACAAGGGTTATCTCTCTGCCCTTTAAATAATGAGAAATGAATGTTGTGGCACAGAAGAATTTTGGAAGGAAAATAGGTTTTCAGGAAAGGGCCGCTTCAGTGCGAGTCTCTCTCTCTCTCTCTCTCTCTCACACACACTCACTCACGAGTTGTAATTACAAAGACACGCATTCATTCACACATTCACAGATGGAGCGAGCGGGCCGAGCGGCGGGGAGAGCTGCTCAGTTCATCTTAATCAGCGGGGGAGCCGCACAGATTAGTATTCTTCCTGGTAATCCCCCCCCAACACATCCCGGAGACTATCACTCACTGCTGCTGCAACCTTGATAAGTGTGTGTCAGTCTGTTGTGCGGGGCGTGAAAACACACGCACAGCTGTACCTGAGATGATGGAGGCATGTCGGAATTCCTCTGAGAAATGGATCGGCTCGTAGGGAGACGTCTCGTAAAACTCCTCTCCTGAAAGACAACAGAAATCAGAAAAATGTTAGCTCGTGCGCACACACACAAACACACACACACCTGAACATCTGGCTGTTCCCGGAAAAAAAAGCTGTTGTGTGAAAAAGCTTACAGCAGCATGAACAGATTTTATTTCAGTGGGTTTTTTAGAGTGTGTGGAGAATCGTCATTTTCTCATTTTATTAAAAAAAAAAACAAGACTATAGCCCCTGACATCTAAAAATCAGATGTATTATGGCAAAGTCATGCTCTATAATTTTGAATAAAGTGCAGCTAAATAAATTTTAAATTTGGTTATTTCCAAAAGTAAAAATGAAAATGAGATAGATCAGGTCTGAAGACGCAGTAGCACAGAGGCTTTTTAAACTGTGAGGCCCCTCCCCAGAGGGCCCGTGGGAGGTGAAGATGACTGGTGTAAGGGACAGGCGCGTGCAGGTGCTATAAGAACAGGAAGTTGCTAACGTGGTCAGCAGTTGGAGCTGGAGGATATTAAGGTCATCTAAAACACTTGTCGGCCCATTACTGCAATTTGAGTTAAAACTTGCTCTCCTCGGTGAGACACATCTTTGAAGTCCGTCATGAATAAACATCCATAAATCCACACACAGAAAAGAAGATTCTTCGTTCTCACTGCAGAACTTGGCCCAGTTACACCCTGATGTGTATGAGATCGGTCGCCACACGTGTTGGAGACGTTTCCTCCAGACGGCGGTTTCAAAGAACGAACCTTTGAATGCACCAGCAGCGGCACGTCTCTCACTCTGCGGCATTCAGACTCTGATTTGTTGTGAACAGCCCAGGTCAATCTGATCTTTTGGATTTGGGCCACTTTCATAATATAGTCCAAATCAGCGCCATTGCCATATGCATGCTACTTGTCCCCTAGTTGCTCCAGAGGCGTGCGACCTCTGACATATATAGCAGTTGTAGTTTGCTTTGGATAAAAGTGTCAGCTAAATGAATAAATGTAAAATCATGTATTGCGTATACATATTTTGCAAACATGTCATTTGTAATATGGTTATAACAGTTAGTTTTCTGTCCATGTAGAGTGAACTAGATGTCTTGTTGTTTATATGCTCTGATAACGTTAATCCAACACATCTTTGTAGTAGCGTCCATGTTGATTCCACAGTCAGACTTAAGAGCACATGAACACACACTGAAGTCGGAAGAACGACCTCACAGCTCGGTGAATGGGACCATCCGAGGAGCATGTGAATGCACTGTGAGCCACTGGTTGCAATTCACAACTCTCACCACTAGATGCCACTAAAACTTACACACAGAAACTTTAATATAATTGATTAAACTTTACTGAACTGAAGGTGTGAGCCACTGTTAGAGAAAGCCGACGCACTGTCTAAAGAGATCACATTTATTCACTAATAACCACAAATCAAAGTTCTGTATTCTTCTTTATGTCGCATGTACACTTTATTTCTCTATTTGTATTAAAGACTTAAGGAGGAATAAAAGATTCTGATTATTCATACACCACATTTGTCCATTGGGGCTACTGTAGAAACATGGCGGCGCAACATGGCAATGTCCATGTAAGAGGCCCCGCGGTGTATGTAGATAGAAATGTCTCATTCTAAGGTAAAAAAAAACATAACTGTTCATTATGTAAGGTCTTTACACACCACTGAAAATATAGTTATGAATATTATATTGCATTTCTGTCAATAGATCCAGCGAAATATTACACACTGAACCTTTAATATATTTAAGTACAATTTTGAGTTACTTTATTCTTCTACTCAATAAACAAAATCTTTTTTTTTTGTTTTACCAACACAAAATCCTGTAACATCAGATTTCTCTTTTCACATCTATATTGTGCAGTTACAAGAGCAGAAAAGTCATTTGACGTGACAATGTGTTGCGTCAGCCCAAAAAAATAAAAAGACACCAGAAAGGTGTCACCATCCGACAGTTTTAATCACGTCGAGACAGTGATTTCAAAGGTTTCCAGCGCGGTCATTCAGAAGGTAATTTGTCTTTTAAACATCAGCCACTAGGAGCCAAGGCCTGCCTGAGACCCGGCTGTCACCATTCCTCATGTTTTCAAAGCTTCACCCACTAAAACTTTCTGTTTGACTGCCAGAAAACATTGTGTACTCTCTTCTGTAATGCATCAAGGACGACAAACAAAAGCGCTGCGACTGTAAATCACAAATAGAGACAGAACTAAGAGCAGCGAGTGAAACAGTCACAAGAATTAAATGAGCTCAATTTGGCTGATTCTGGAGACATCACTCATCACTTAATATGAGCTGTCTTATGTTGTGTTTCTGTCTGGACTGGGCCTTTTCTTCAAATCATGTTGTTCTGTATAAATACGTTGCGATGGCGACAGTTCTTTTGTTTTGTTTTTTTGTGATTATCATGTTGCTATCAGATGATTATAGCTCACAGTAGTGCGATCTGTTTCGGGGGGTGCAACAGTAAAGTGACTTATAAGTTCCTGTGAATTTGAGCTGCAGGGAGGCGAAGAGAGTTAATTAGCACCTTTCAGCAACGAGGGCAATTCAAAGTTCTTCACATGTGACATAAAAATACTTTGACAGAAGAAACACGAGGGACTATATAAACACATATAAACAGCATTATTTAAAAAGAAAATAAAGTAGGAGATAAAAGTAATCTAAAATGTTATAAAACCGATGAACAGGACAATGAATGAATGAATTGTCCCAACTGTTAAAGGCTGTGTCAGACAGAAACAGTTTTCAGCCTCGACTGAAGGTTGTTCGAGATATGTGGTTATCATCATGTGCACATGGACACATAAAGACCTCCACACTAAAATAATACTCTACCCATTATTTCAATTCATAGAAAAAGTAAATTGCTGATATGAATAAACTTCTGCAGCTACAGCATTTTATAAACCGTAAAACTTCAATTAACAGCAGAGTCCCAAATAGCCGCCCTGTTTACTGGCCTGGTGTGGGAACACATTTTAACAAATAAATGCTGGTCTCCATTAAACGCCTGGTCTGGTTTTTGAATAACTTCTTTGGATGTAAAAAACCTCTTAAACCCAGCGGGGTCGCCCGCTTTAGCTGCTTCTAAGCTGCTTAAATCGTTAATACAAATGTTAATGTGTAAAATTATGATCAGTATGAACACGCTACACATCGTTAGATCGGTTAGATTCTCCACAATTCAATCGTTCGGTTCATTTAACGGAAACAGTTCGAATATGTCCGTTCCGTGATTATTTATATTCCTTCAGTCTGCCTGTATCAAAACAGCTTTTCATAAAAATGTATCCAAGTTGTGAATCCTGTCATGTGAATCCATCGCTCTCTGTCTGCTAACGTCTGCCACAGTCTCATCCCGCATCGGGTATGTTTGTTTTTGTTCCGTTGTTGCCTACAAAATAAAAGTGCATAAGCCGTCTGTAGGAGCCTAGATCAAACAAATGAGTGTGATTTGATATTATTTGATATAATATTTCTTAAACAATTCAATGACTTTATCAAATAAAAGCCCGGGCAATTAATCCAAGTTTTACGGTATACAGACACACACACACACACACACACACACACACACGTCCTCTTACCTAATGACAAAATAGGCCGATGGTCAAGCGTCCCAAAATGACGTATATGACCATTGGAAAGCACGACAACATGTAAGACCATTCCCAAAAACATGTTTGAGCATTGGCAGGTACCAGTCCAGCGACAGGCATAACGGACCTTATGTATGTATGCTAGGCAAGTCACGTGACCTACTGTATGTCACAACGTTGTAAAAAAGGTCACAGTTTGGTTAGGTTTAGGCAACAAGCGATACAAAATGTTATTTAACTTAAAACACGTCACCTTTGATTTTCTTTCACTCTTTCGAACTTCAGTCTCCTGAGTGAAAGTGCTGAGTTTACTTGACTCATCCATCCACCCCACCGCCTCCTCACATGGACTTTATCGCTCTTTATACTATGTCAGCTGACTTCTTCTGCCCCTAGAGGTCGCGGCCTAGCAATAAACCTAAATATGGGTCGTAAGAAGCTGCTGCATAATCCACCTGTACGGCTTTTCTTCTGGTGAGGACGGGCAGCTCAGTCTATATGGCGTCACACTGTATTTTGCTCCATCACGTTGCTGTTGTGCTGCAGTGAGAAGACAACAAGATGAAATGGCTGAATGTCACTTCAGGACAACACTGTGACAGAAGGAGACAGCAGGGAGCTTATCATGAACTTCACTCTCTTTCTACTGCAGGGACATTAACAATAAACCAGCACAGAGTCTTCCAGAGGCTGCTCCTCTCTCCTTTCTGAAGGAGTGTAATGTTACATTCATGGCCCGGCTCTGTCCAACAGAAGCAGCGGTAGAATTAGTCCGGCACATAACCTCCAGTAAAACACCAAAGTATCTCTTTCACCCTTTGTTTTTTTTGTACAAATTAATTAAAGGTTCAGTGTGTAATATTTCTGAGGATCTATTGACAAAAATCCAATGTAAGCTCCATAACTATGTTTTCAGTGGTGAATAAAACCTTACATAACGAACCGTTATGCTTTTATTACCTTAGAATGAGCCAGTTTTATCTACATAACCGCGGGCACCCCCTGCTGTGGAGGTCGCAGTATTTTGTCGTCATGTTTCTACCATAGCTGTCAACGAACAAACAGTGCTACAGAGCGCATTTCGTCATCACGGCGTTCTTCTTGTTGTTGTGTAATTCCGGTAGTGTAGACGCCCGTCACTCCATTGAATACGTACAAAGAAGAAAAAGCGGGAATAATAATAATAATGATAGTAAAATACAGTCTCCGAGTAGTCTTCTGGTTTATTAGAAGCAATAGGAGAAGTGACATTTGGACAACTGAAGGAGCACACGTGTTGTTTAGCACCAGAGCCGACAGCCAGACGGAGTCGGGACAGACAGCTGAAGGCAGAAATCACGGATTTTGAGGATTTTCCCATGATGGAAGGCTATAACGTTAATGTGGGACAGATGTTTTCAAAGCGGTG